ATCTGAACTTGAAGACGATAAACAAGCTTGCCAAAAGAAACCTCGTAAGAGGGCTACCCGAAGTATCTTATACAAAAGATAAAATATGTGAGGCTTGTCAAAAAGGGAAGCAATTCAAGTCATCGTTTAAATCAAAATATGTAGATGCAAATTCTCGTTCTCTAAGTCTTCTACATATGGATCTCTTCGGACCAGTAGATCCAGCAAGTTTGAGTGGAAGAAAGTATACTCTTGTTATAGTAGATGACTACACAAGATATACATGGGTACTTTTCTTGAAGAAGAATGAAACAGAAACAGCTCTTCCAAATCTTTTGAGACAACTTCAAACGGAAAAGGAGGTCAAAATAATTCGAATAAGATCAAATCAAGGAACGGAATTTGTCAACAAAGTCATAAAGGAATTCTGTGCACAAAATGGAATTTTCCATCAACTCTCGGCTGCACGAACTCCTCAGCAAAATGGAGTAGCCGAAAGAAGGAACATAACCTTGAAAGAAGCTGCACGAACGATGATCTCTCACTCAGGACTACCTAAGAGATTTTGGGCCGAAGCCATAAACACGGCATGCTATACGCAAAATAGATCCTTGATCAACAAATCTCACAACAAGACACCGTATGAGCTATGGAAAGGTAAAACTCCTAGTATCGGTTATTTTCATGTCTTTGGTTGCAGGTGCTTCATACATAACAACGGAAAGAATCATCTAAGAGCTTTTGACAAAAGAGCTGACGAAGGACTATTCATGGGATACTCCTCAGCAAGCAAAGCGTTCAGAGTTCTAAACAAACGAACAATGGTAATAGAGGAATCCATTCATGTCAAATTTGATGAACTATCTGAGAAGAATCCATCTGGATGTAAAACATCAATCAAGTCAAGTCAAAATTCTCAGCAACTTGTAAACGAAGATATCTCAGACGAAGAAGACATTCTTTAGTCCTACACGAAATATCAGCTAAAGGTTTCAGAACCCGAACCTCTGTCCCAAGAAAAGGTAGTGATTCAACAGAATGATCCTACAAGCACCACAACATCTGAACCAATGATATACATTGATCTACCATATATTCCCGAAATGGATGCTCAAAATCAACAAGATGCTTTTGAACCAGACCTTTGATGGTTGAAAGATCATCCATCAGATCAGGTTATTGGAAATGTCCAAGAATGTGTGAGAACAAGAGCCTCCTTGCACGAAAGTATGATGGCATGCTTCCTATCACAAATGGAACCTAAAACCATAGAAGAAGCCCTAAAAGACCCTGACTGGGTAATAGCCATGCAAGAAGAGCTCCATCAATTTGAACGAAATGAAGTATGGGAACTTGTTCCGAGACCATCTCATCAGAATGTCATTGGAACTAAATGGGTGTTTAGAAACAAAATGAGTGAAGATGGGCTCATTGTTAGGAACAAAGCTCGTCTTGTTGCTAAGGGATATTGCCAAGAAGAAGGCATTGATTTTGATGAAACCTTCGCCCCTGTAGCCAGATTGGAAGCTATTCGCAAATTTCTAGCTTTTGCAGCCTATAAGAACTTCAAAGTCTATCAAATGGACGTCAAGAGTGCCTTCTTAAATGGACTTCTTGAAGAAGAGGTTTACGTTGAATAACCACCTGGTTTTGCAATCAATAATGAGCTTGAAAAGGTCTATCATCTCAAAAAGGCTCTTTATGGCTTAAAGCAAGCTCCACGAGCCTGGTATGATACTCTCTCATACTTTCTCATCAACTGCGGTTTCACGAAAGGAGTGGTTGATAAAACACTCTTTCGCATAAAAGATAATGATCATATTCTACTAGTTCAAATCTATGTTGATGACATCACCTTTGGTAGCACGAATCCAATTTTGTGTGAAAAATTCTCCAACCTTATGAAAGGCAAATTTGAGATGAGCATGATGGGTGAACTAAACTACTTTCTGGGTTTACAAGTTAAACAATGCCCAGACGGAATATTCATAAATCAAGCCAAATATACCCAGGATTTAATCCAAAAATTTGGCAATGATAGAAAAAGTTCGGTCAAAATTCCAATGAGCACATCCCTCAGAATGGATGTTGATAATGAAGGAAAGGATGTTGATCAGACAAACTTTCGAGGCATTATTGGTTCGCTTTTATACCTAACAGCAAGCAGACCTGACATTTCGTGTGATGTTGGTGTATGTGCACACTTTCAAGCCAAGCCGAAAGAAAGTCACCTAAGTGCAACTAAAAAGATATTAAGATATCTTAAGGGAACGCAAAGTGTCGGTCTCTAGTATCCGAAAGAAGGATCATTTGATCTAGTTGGATATTCAGATGTTGATTTCGCAGGGTGTTGAATTGATCGAAAAAGTACCTCAGGAACCTGCCAGTTCCTAGGAGGACGTATTGTGTCTTGGTTTAGCAAGAAACAACACTCTATTGCTACAAGTACGGCTGAAGCCGAATACATAGCAGCCGGAAGCTGTTGTGCTCAAATCTTGTGGATGAGACATCAATTGAGAGACTATGGCATAAATGCTCGAGAAGTGAGCATAAAATGCGATAACACGAGTGCAATCGCCATTAAGCATAATCCTGTGCTACACTCTCGGACTAAGCATATTGATATTAAGTATCACTTCATTCGTGATCATGTCGAGAAGAAAGGCATATCTCTTGAGTATGTTAATACTGATGATCAACTTGCAGATATACTCACGAAACCCTTGAGTGAAGCACGTTTCTCCTCTCTAAGGCATGAACTTGGAATGATTGAAATGACATAAAGCCAAGAGAATCAAATCTGCAAAGATTCTTACTCTCGAAAATCAAAAGATTTGATCCATTCTCACACGCAAGGATCTTTATAAATGAGATACATTATGAGGATAAAATTTCATATCTAACAAAAATTCTAGTGTTTGTCTTTGCATGCGCAGGTATGAGTACGGGAAGCGAAAGAACCATTACGGAGGCACAAGAAGGAAAGAGTGAAATTCTTAGTGAGCCACTAGTGACTGAGCAAGATGTTAATCAGTTTCTTGAACGCGCTCAACTCATACAAAACCTTCTTCGTGACACAACCGATAATGAGTCAAGAGAATCTTTCCACTCAGTTGGCAACCCTATAGGGTATGTCAAGGAAGACAGTGTGCTGGAATTAAGTGATAGTTTTGACTACTCACCCTTAAGCACTCCTACCAAGATAGCATCGCCTCTCAAGTCCACCGCAAGCAGCAAGAAAAGGAAAGCCTGAATAACTTTGTTAGGCCACAGTGACGAATTGTGATGTTATCATGTTTATGATCTTCTAATGACTCTATCTTTCGTTGTTTTTTTTTAAATATGATGTCAGTATCTAAAAGATTTTGTTAAGATTCGCACGATATCTTCTGCCTATAAATTACTTTCCTATTTCATGAGATTTACTCATTCACAAGTCCTTAGAAAAAGAAAAAGTTTACAGGAATGGACAAAGGGAAAGGAAAGATCGATGAGGCTGAGAAAAGAGCTACACGCCTAAAGCATCACTTACGAGAAGCAAGCAAGTTACCAAACGCCACCATTCTTAGGCTGGAAGAAGATGGGGAAAGGGTCATTGTAACATACTCCATGCCTAACACAGCACCAAAAGAGAAGGAAACTCGTGACAAATTGGTCAATGAGTCCAGGGCTAATAAGGCATACTGCATGGAACAAGCCACACGGCTTGCTAAAGAGAGAATTCTGATGATGCAAAGCTCTAATAAGCAAACACTATATGAAGTTCCTAAACCTAGTAATCAATCTTATGAAGGTTTCACTATGGTTCACTCTCGGTCCTCAACTTAGTCACCCGAACCAACTCTCTCACTTGAGGAGTTGGATGAATATGCAAAGAAGGCAAATCTGACTGATGTGACCGAAGAGATGACTCATCTGGAACTTCACGTGCCTTATCGTTTTCTCTAAGTTATTGTATGTTGTACTTTCGTGATCTGGAATCCTCCTCTCTATCCTTTGTGACCTAATAAAAATGCTATCCTTTCGTACTTGGAATGAGTGTACCTCTTGACTATGTTTAACTTTGTTTGTTTCTTGTCCAAAGTAACAGGAAATCTCCTCGCTCACACGTAATCTGGTAAAAAAGGGACCATAAATTATCATGCGTTATATGATTTTTAAGTTCATTAAAGTTGGAGTGTCATAAAGAAACATGTTAACAGTCAAAGTCTTGCTTGGAATTGATAACTCCTTGACTACATTTATGAGCATTAATTGTGACGTTGAAATTAATGTGTAACAGACACATGAGCTATGTGGATCTCTTGCTATAAAAGGAGGTGAATTCTTCACATTATATTCATCCTTATTTTCTTCACCATGGCTCAAAAGAAACCTTTCACTAGAGGTGACTCTCACAAAATAAGAGAGGTTGCAAGGCGTATCAGGGAAGAACAGGGTGATCTTTACCCTGGTAACAGTCCACAAGCTCCTGTGGACCTTCTCTCTGACTCTGACTCATCTCTTCAATATGATGAGATAGCTGGCTTCATTGTTGAAAAATCTGAAAGTGAGGAAAGACCCTGCTCAGGCCATTCCAGATGATCCCAGCAAGTGGGTTGATCGAGATTACATGGCTTTTCTGGCTCAAGAGAATTTAGAGGAGAAATATGATAAGGAGGAAGAACCTGAATCCTCATCTGGTTCCAACTACCCAAGAACCGGGAAGTGGTACAAGCAGATGTTGGGAAATCTGAAGAAGGGGAAATCTGAGTCGTCTGGAGTCAAGAAAAACGAGAGGAAGAAAAATTGATCTTTTTATCTGTTGTATCTTATCTTATGTACTTTCCTCTCTCGGTTCTATGAATAATGAAATCTTGTTGGCTCTGGTTTCCTTTTGAACGAAACTTTATGTGTCTTATTCATCATCTGTCTAAAATCTTGAATCAAGGACAACTTTCTTGGAAAAGAATATGTTCCCTAAGGCGTGCCTTGGTCAGGTCAAGTCATTCGGGCACATCTTTTGAGAGGATCTACTCTCTATTTAAAGAACCCTCTCAATCCTCTATAAACTCACTTCTTTCTTTCTTCAAACTCATGGATAAAGGGAAAGAAATAGCCCTTACATCTGAGAGCTTATCTGAGCCCGAAAAAATGTCTCAACATGATCTTGGAAACTCAATTGAGAAAAGTTCACCATCTGGGAAGGAACCAGAAATCTCAGAGTTCTACTCTCTTGTTCAACTCACACCCTTCTGAAACATGAAGAGAAGTACCGTGCACTGTATGCATATGCTAAAGCCAAAGTTCTGGCTGAGCTAGATGACATGGAGAGAAGAGGTCTTTCTAGAGAAACACTGGAAGTTGATCATGAAACTCTCATTGCTGAAGTTTTTGCTCATGAAATCCGAAAGAGAGAGTACCTTGAGCATGCACAAAAGAAGAAGGGCAATGTTGAGTAAAAGCTTGCCTTCCTGCTAATACACGAGAGATTGTATTCGTTTATGTTATGTACGTTCTGTGTAATAAATCTCTCGGGTAATGTACTCTTGATGTTGTAAGAAGGATCTGTTTGACTTTATTTGTCTCACAGATCTCATGATATGATAAGATTATCTATTTTCGGGTTTGGAATCGTGTCTAAGACGTTTCTTTATTAACTTCCAATCCAAACCGTTTAGATGAATCATAATGAGGATCATGTGGCCGAGAAAAATGGTCCACTATCCCACTCTGTCTGACACGGATTGAGACGTGTATTTAATGCACCCATAAGCACTCAAGTGCTTTTCTCTCTCTTCATTTAATGATGGAATGATCGTTTTTGATCTGCACACGATCTTATCACTCTCCCATGTTGATCAGTTACCTTTTTGGAGAAGAAGAACCGGTAGTTCTTTTGAAATTCAAAGTAATCCATTGGTAAATGGGCTACCCATAACCGGTTACCCAGTGATTGCTAAAACCCTACTTAAACCTTCTTCTCCTCAAGCATTACCTTTTACACATCCTCTCTTTTATTCCTCACAATCCTCTGTCTCTCTCAAATCGTCAGCAATGGCGGAACATCCACAAACACCACCAACTGATAAAGAACCAGAAACACCTTCCACTCTGGAAATCCCAAGCTTTCCAACAGAAGATCTAAGGTTCATTGAATCCAGAGTACCTTTCATCGTCGGCGGCAGTATGTGGGACACGCATGGTTTCCTTGAGTATATCCTAGACAGAAGATTTGGAGAAAACATCATACATCTCCTCACAGAAACAGGATTATATGGCTTCATCACACATCTTTATACTATATGGCACCCAGTTGATGTAACTCAATTCTATATGAATGCATCAATATCCTCTGATTATCTGACCATTACTTCCAGAGTCAATAATCATCATGTGGTCTTTACCTCGGAGGACGTTCGATCAACATACGGGTTTCCACAGAGAGATGAGACTTACAAATCTGATATTATTTATTATCATCTCGACCCAGAGGACTTCTACGAATCTATCAAGAACAACCACGCCCCCTCCAAGGCAGAAATCACTTGGCCGTTGAAGAAGAAATGGTTCAAACTAGATTATGAGTTCACTGTTGATATCTTCAATAAACTTGTCGATCACAAGACCTCGGGCACTGATGATGTGACGAAGGAGAAGTTGAAAATGTTGCATGCTTTCTTGAATGGATTTAAAGTCGATTGGTCAAAGATCATATTCAACAATATTGCTCACACCATCACCTTTCATCGGAAGAGTCCATGAGACATCGCAAAGAAGTTGGGGTATGGCTTTGTTATAAGCCATCTTCTTGCAACGAAAGGAGTTATTTTGCGTCCAGGAATTCGGCCTGGTCAGAAAGCCTGTCACATGAAACAAAAACCATCAGGGTACGACAAACAGAAGGCATTAGAGTTGGGTATTCCTATTGAGCAAGTGAAAACCAACAGGAAATCAAGAACTCCTAAAGTTTCGGAGGACGATCAACCCAAGCCTAAACGACAAAAGCGAGAAAAACACTCCACTCGGAGTAAGGAAAAGAAGACAGAAGCGACTCCATCTGTTCCAGTTCCTCCGAAATCTCCACAAGAGGCAAAAGATCCTACTTCACCTTCTCCTCTACCAGAAACAATCATTGTCAAAGATTCATCCGAAGACGAAGACAATCTGATTCTCACAAGACTTGGCAAAAAGAGTCACTTTCGATCTCCTGTCAAAACGAAGTCTTCCCAGGCGAAAAGTCTTACACCGAAGGAAGTTGACACGAGAGAAGCAGCTCCACAGGGGGAAGAAGTCACGAAAAAAGCTCTCTCTCAGGGGGAAGCTCAGCCGAAAGTCACTCTACCAGAAAGAATTTCTGATGTTCAAAAACCCGAAACTGATCTCGGTTCTCTTCAAGACCACCATCCACAAGAACCTACTTTAGCAGATCAACTCCTTCGTGAGATGACACAAGAACCTGTTAATGTAGATATGGAGGCCAGTCACTTAAGTCTTCCACAAGAACCTGGGTCACCAGAAAAGACGATAGAGGCGACTGATGCTTTGATCGCTTTGCCTTGTCTGCCACAAGAACCTACCAATACAGAGCAGGTAATTCTGACACAAGAACCTGTGCTGGTAGACGGGACAGCAGTTGTGCAAGTACAACCTTCGGACATCCCGAAACCATCAGTTCCAGCTCCAGAAGTAAAAGTCCCTCAACCTTCACAAGATCAGTTACTTAGAGAATCCATTGAAAGGGATTACAGTCGAGTCCTGCAGTGGCAACAGTGGCGCACTGCTCCCCTAAGGACGTTTCTTGAAACTTTTGAAGCAATGCAGGATGAAGAAATCTTTGCACTTGATTGGATTGACACTGATGATGTTTCCAAAGCTCTTCGAATTGAAGAAATCAATCGAGTCTTCTCTTACAAGATGACAAATCGCACTCTCGGGAAGGATAAAGCTCCAATCTGCATCGAACTCAACAAGCCACCCTTGGATCCAGTCTTTGAAGAAGAAATGAAGCAACTTCGATATGCCATGTTGCTATCAAAGATCAAGACCACATTAGAGAAGGAACACCAAAATTATCCGAATTGCAATGTCAGTGGCACGAAAGATGAGCTTGGACGAGAAATTGAAGAAGACGAGAGTAATGAAGATGAAGATGAAGATGATAATGATGATGATGTTGACGACGCTGATGATGAGAATGATGATAATGATGATCAGTTGGGCAATGAAGGTGCTCAAGAAGACGACCCCGAAGACAGTCATACAATCTTGATCGGTCCTGACTATGACACCTATGCTCAAAGATCTCCCTTAAGAAAGCTACCCTCTGACAGTGGTGACTCGGAAGAGGTTTCAACTAACCATCCGGAAGATCTGTCTCGTGCCATCGTTCCACATATCCAACCCATGGACGAAACTCCGATCATGCTCGAGAAAGCAAAAGTGCGTGAGGGCAAACTGGAAGCCTCACCAATTCATCTTAGCTCAACAAGTGGTGGAAAAAGGGAAGCACCACCTCAAGATGAGCATATGGACACAACGCCAACAAACATTGAAGATGAATCTGTTGCTGAGTCCCCACGAACCATCATGAACCTTATGAGGGAAACTGTCCATTCAGCCGAAACCATCCACATGCAATATCTGGCTCTACGGGAAAAGGACACGAAAGTTTTAGATGATTTGTGCAAGAAGGTTGATTCGTTGATAGCTGCACAATCTGTACCTCAACCTCCACCTCAAGAACAGACTCAACCGCAGCAACAAAGCCAAACAGATCACAAGATCCTTGAGAGAATGACAAAGAAGCTTCATGATCTTGAAACTGCTCTGAACAAAGTTGCACGGCAATAACACGAGATCAAACATTCTCATTTTGGTCTCAAATAACGTATTGATTTGGCTTGTACAAAGATTGACACATATCAAGACAATTCATACCAACTGGGAGAATATGCTCTTCAAATTCTCGGATATGCTCAGGATATCTTGAATGTGGTAAATAAGGTTTCCTCTATCCCTCCTACTTCTTGTGCTGATGATGCCAAAAAGGGGGAAAAGAGAAATGACGACAAAGATAAGGATGATGATCAGCCGAGAGACAACACGAAAGATCAAACTCCAGAAGCAAGACACTCTCCCTCTCGGACACCAAGAGACTCCGGCCGAAGGAACACGAATTCATCTCATCCACCTTCTAGGTCTCGTGGTCACCATTCCTCGAAGCAAAGATATCATGGTCGATACCAATCTAAACCAATCAAGCCACGACAATCCTTTGGTTCTGAAGCCAAGTACATCTTCACAGGTCTGCCAAAGAGAGAACAGATGAATCTAAGGCAGAGACTTATGAGAGACAACAAAGTAACCATGGATGGCATAGGAAACTTTGTGGACTTTGTTCCATATGAAGAAGGCAGTGGCAAACGTTTTGAGGGTTGCAATAATCCTATTTTGTTGAAAACAAAGGACAACTATACAAGACAAAATCACATGAGCACTCAAAACGAGAGAATCAAAAGAGAAACCAGAGAACTGTGGAAGAAGCATGATGAAGAAATCAAAAGAAGAGAAGATGAAGCAAGGGAAAGAGAAAGGATCAGAAATCTCATTGAAGACCTTTCTAGTGTAACCAAAGACTCCCCACAAAATGTTAATCACAATGCAGCTTTTAAAGTGCATAAAGAGTCAGGAAAGAGCTACCAAGAAGGCATGAATTCGTTTGAACTGATCTCGTGGTGGAAGTCTGGAATTGTTGAAGGAAGCAACATTCGGGAAGCTTATAACAATTACACTGGCCTGAATATCAAAGGAGAACATGAAGAGCTTGTCAGGTCTAATCCTATTAAAGTCTTTAGAGCAAAAATCAATGAGAAAATAGACTTCAACAGGATGTTAAAACGACAAAAGGAAAGGGATGACCAAAAATCCAAGGAAAATGAACAACAGAAATCAAAGCTCTTAGAAATGTAAGTTATCTTTCGTTCTGTTTTTCTTCATAAAGTTTTTGTAATGATCACATCTTTATATTTATGAAACTCTCATTGTCACACATCTCGTGTCACTTGTCTGAGTTATTTGTCTTTGTCTTTCTTGTTAACGCTTCAATCTAGAAAAAGACTTGTAAACTCTCAAGTATGGCTGTTTTTATAATAGAAAAATCCTTATGGAACTTTTATCAGCCTTATAAGAAGAGTATAGGTTTTGGCATCATCAAAAGGGGGGAAATTGTTAGGAACATTGTATTAGGATTTTGATGATACCAATGTAATGTAGAAAAGTAGACCCCTAACTATTAGCTTTTTCATTTGCTGCTTTCGTCCTAGACGAGAGTTGCCATAACTCCTCTGTAATTCGTGTTAAGCTAGACAAACACACGAAAATAAGTTATGACTAGACGTTAGGGTCTCCAGGGCGAAAGAAGACACGAGACATGAAGATCTACAACGAGAGTTAAGTAGGAGTTGTCAACTAGCACGAAAAGACAGTTTTTTTTGTTAAAGACAATCTTTATCAAACATTACTTCTCTTCAACAACGAGAATAATGTTCTACCTGCCTGATTTGACAACATCCTAGGACAATAAGGACCTCATCTTAAGGGACACACTTTTCAAGAAGCATTAAATGAAGATGTACCATCCTCTGAAGATAAAGGACAAAACCTAATGCTTTCCATACCCTCAACGGCTACATGGTACAACCTCATTAATGGAGCATTTAATGCATGAAGCTCCCCGGTCCTTGTCCAATGGTTAAAAGGTTCGAAAATTTCATCTCCCTCCAACGGATGAATTTTCTTCACCTATATAAACCCACCTTCATCAACTAAGAAGGTGCTGGTTCATTCTCACTCGACTTACTTGCAAAAGCTCTTGAAACGCTCACGATTTACTAAAAGCTTTTGTGAACCAGTATTGAGGTGCTAAGTTACTTGAAGAAGATTATTAATCATATTCTTACACCTCAAATGAAGTCTTGCCATTTGTTTGAAGCAATCATATCTCAGAGCCAAGACTTCATCGTTGGAGAATTCAAGAAATCACTTTCTACCAACCGCAACTCAGGAGAAGAAGTTGATAGAGGCGGAGTAAACTCGAGGAGTTGAAAAACCTACGAAGGCTGTCCGGCTTAGTGATCAAGGAAGTCTTTGTGTAATTGTACTAAGAGTGATAGTGCATCCCTTCCATCAGTTGTGGAAGAAGAGTGGAGTAGGCAACGTTAGCCGAACCACTATAAAATCTCGTGTCCCACCTATCTCCTTACTTACGCTTTTCTTTTCTGCATTCATATCATCACTTTTATCACTGTTACCGAAAGTTTCTCTAATTACTCAAACTCGTGCAAAATATTTAAAACGAATCTATCTTATCCGCTGCGCCAAAACACCGATCATTACATTCTATCGAGACCAACATATATATATATATATATATATATATATATATATATACTAAAATCTTCAATCTTGATAAATCTTACTTCGAAATAGATAATCGTGATCAGACCTCATTTTTTACCAGAAGACCTTATTCTCATTTGAACATAAATAATGTTAACTTATAATATTAATTGTCATGTTTTCACTTTGGTCAGGACTAATAAAATGGTAGAACCGCCTCTCCCTCAGTGAGTCAAATATATTTAGGCCCTATTTGGTAAATAAGTTAGTCTATAAATCAATTTTGTCTTATTTGATCACGATTAGCTCTTTGATTTGATTAAAAATAAATCAATATAAGTGTTTGGTTAATTAGCTTATTGTAACTTTAAAATGCTAAAATTCAAAAAGCTGGTCAAATCAACTTTTTCAATTAACTTTTTGAGAAAAGAAATTATACCAAACAGCTATCAGCTATCAGCTAATTTACCAAACACCTTTCTACAATCAACTAATGTTATCAACTAGTTATATCCTCTAATTAACACAATCAGCTAACAGCCAACAATTATTTACCAAACATGGCATTAGTCTTATAAATAATGAACCTGTTTGGTAAAATAGTTAGCCGGCCTATCAGTCAATTTTGACTTATTTGACAACTATTAGTTGTTTGACTTGGTTAAACAATCAATATGAGTGTTTAAGTAATTAGCTTTTTGTAACAACTTGTTGCTCTAAAATGCTAAAATTCAAAAAGCTGCTCAAATTAGCTTTTTCGATCAGCTTTTTAAGAAAGTCATTGTATGTAATCAGTTAACTGCTAACAACTAATTTACCAAACACTTTTCTACAATCAGTTAATGTTATCAATTAGTTAAACTCATTAATTCAATCAGTTAACAGCTATCAGCTCACAAGTCATTATATTTACCAAACACTCCAATATAATGATGGTGGAGTGACAAAAGCTACTAATAATAGTAAAAGCTAAGTTGGGAAGACACATCCATCACTGAATCATTCTCGGACCCATTTAGATTTTGAAGCGTTATTTAAAGAAGACTTTCTTTCAATATTTGGCTAGGGAGTAAGAGAAATAGCCTTTTAGTTATAGCTTTTATACTTTACTACTAGTTATATAATACATATTCTGCGACTAAATTAATGTCTTAAAAATATATATAATTTTTATATATAAAATTTAATCATTATTATAAAATAAAATTAGTCATTTTTAGTATAATTAAAAAGGTATTTTCAACTCTAGATACAAATTAATAGTAAATATGAGTGTTATTGTTGATAGTTAGAAGGAAAAATAAAAATCATTTCTTAACAATTTCATATTAAAATAAAGAGTTAATTCCATTTTTTTTCTTAAATTTATAGGTGACAATTCAGTTGTCTTTTTTTTTTTTCTTTTTTTTTTTCTTTTTTTCAAAACATCCTCACTTGGTTCTTAATGTGATTTTAATGATTATTAATGAGTTAATAAAAGTTAACACATTTTTTATTAAAAATAACATGTTTATAAATATATAGGCCATGTTTGGTAGTAGTAGTACCCTTAAGGATCATGGTAGTAGTACCCTTAAGGATCATTTTACATTTAATCAGCTATCAGCTAACAACTAATTTACCAAACACCTTTCTATAATCAGCTGCGCTAATGCTATCATATGTGTGAGCATATAACCATTAATGTGTATCTAACTATAAGCTTAGGCTTTTAGTTGAGATGGAGCACATGCTTTAATTTGGTATCAGAGCCAAACCAAAGGTCACGGGCTCAACGCCACTCGTAAGCGACTACGGTTTATCGGTCCACGTGTTGGTTGGAATCCACCGTACACGTGAGGGGGCGTGCTAACTATAAGTTTAGGTTTACCGGTCCACGTGTTGGTTGGAATCCACCGTACACGTGAGGGGGCGTGCTAACTATAAGCTTACGCTTTTAAGATGCAATGAATATGTAGTGCATGAATTCATAGGTTTTCTTTATGTATATGATTGAGATCCTAATTTTAGTTATATGTGAACTTTTTCTCTTAGCAAATTCTCTTTGATATTCTGAAATACTAATCTTTTTCCTATAAAATTCATTAGGGAATAATTTTATTTTTTTAATCTTAAAATGGAGAGAATTTTTATCCAAAACATAAATCAACTTGTAATAAAATTATGCATATTCTATTTGAAGCAATATAGTTTTCTAATGAGTGTTACAATCAAGAAGGGTTGATTTAAGCAAATAAAAGATAATTAAGGCATTCTTAAGACAATTCCAATATAGCATCCACTCGCCTGCATAGTACTCAGATAGTAGATTATGGGCAAGGATGCAAGATAATATGTGAAAGAATGATTCATTACTACAATTTGTACATAAAGTGAAAAAAAAAAAATGACGGTAAGTTTGGAAACATCATATCATTGTACAAGAAATCAAAGTGTATAACTTTTTATTGCACATGATTACATTAATATATTTTGTATTTTCATTCAAACTTTAACAATATTGACTATTATATAATTTATTATTTATATTATTATTTAGTAGATATTATTATCCAAAAAAACTCGACACACATAGGTTAAATTCGTATTATGAAAATAGAGCACAACCCTACAAGTATACATAAAACAAAACATCAACATTTTATGTACAACAATATAATATAATATAATATATATATATATATATATATATATATATATATATATATATATATTTCTTGACTTTAAAAATATATTTCGCACCCTAAAAATTTCTTTAGTATTTTACATCCTACCTAATAATCATTAAAGATTTACACCTAATCCCAACTCAAGCAACTATACAACTATGTTTGTCATTTTCAATATTTCTATGACAGGACAAAATAACAAATCTTATCTTAATTATATGCATAGAAAATATTAAGAGTCCAATCACTACCTAGCACTTAACAAATTAAAGCTCATAATCCTAACGTAACCTTTATTATTAGTGATAGCAACTGAAAATCTCTTTCCATAGAATGGAGATTTTTAGAAATATAAGGGTTTATGCCAAAGACCTTGTGACCGAGCGACGTAACTGTGGCTCTTTCAAATGATAGGTCACAAGTTTGAATGCCCCTATGTATATGTATGAACAGATACTACAATGTAACATACACTGCTGAAAATTATGCAATTTTTGACCACCTAAAAATAATCAAAAATCATGTCAAAAGCCTTGTTCCGACCACTTTTGGTGTCCGGAAAAACCTTTATAGCTATTTCCGACCACTTTTTACTTTAAATTTGATTTAAGATCACTTTCAGGTGGTCGGAAATTCCATAATTTTCAGTAGTGATAGTCGGTAGTACTTTTATATATATATATATATATATATATATATATATATATATATATATGCGTGTTTATAGAAAAAAATTTCACTAATATTTAATTTTATATTAAGAAAAATGAATTATAAATTTGAGTTTAAGTTTCATCATTTCATTAAAGCTTATAATTTGGGGAGGATGGAATATGAAAACTGAAAAGTATGCGCAAAACAGTAAATATACATGTGAAGGAAAGTGAATAGCATATCCCAAAATAAAAATGAAGACAAAACTAGCTGTACAGAGGAAGTATATGTTGAATCATTTAAAGGTGAAAATCATACCACTTCTAATCTCAAACTGCCCCAAAGAGGAGGCAATTCAAGAAACTCCTCTTTTTAATGCCATTATTAATTAGATTTTGTATTTTAAAAAAAAAAATGTGTTCTCCATAAGTGATGCGAACATATATAGGGATGATAAGATACATAAGTTTGAGCCACACTAGAAACCTAATGACGAATTACTTATTCTTACTTGATAATTCACTGTGAACCTGAAAAGTTATTAGGGAATTTTGACCAATTTGTGGTAGCATAAACAACGAGTAACCAAGAATCATGCCTCAAATTTGAGGACCTCTCGCTGCTATCTATACCCATTATTTTTTTACATTAATAGAATTCGAACCCAACAACTTGCTACTTGTAGCAAAGCCTCGCCATATACAGATATTTAACTCATAATGAAATTAACTAATATAAATAACTAATGACATGAAGGATTATATATGACACTTCTGAATCACGAGTTAAATATGAAAACAAATATTTATACATAAAAAAAAAAAAATTGCATATAAATAGTATTGTTCATTATTTAGAGATGAAGAGATGCCTTACCTCTAATGTGAGTGTTTTTTTTTTTTTTCTCAACTTTGTTTATAGGTCGATCCTATATGACAGTTCATAAGGACAGTATTAATAATGCCCATAAATTATATATATATATATGTATGAAGCAGAAAAGTTTAGGTTGTTCATTGCTGATCAACTCAAATCAAGAAGAGTAATAGACAGCTCCATGAAAAAGTCAAATTTAAAACGTTATACTTATCAAGTCAATTGTTTAACTAATTTGACTGGAGATTGCGTTATATCTATCTTAGATTCTTAGAGTTTAAATGAATTAGTTTTAATTCTAGTTGGAACATTGCATGTGCCCAAGACTAAAATATGCCTGACCACCTCTGTATGTAATTCCTCTACAACCTACAAAATGTAGCCTTCATAATGCATTAGGTTTCCAGAGCATCATCAGAGCCAGAAGGGATGATCTGTAATCTAATGATGATTATTATTAGACTAATAATAAGTAAACAACTCCCCCTTTTGCTAACTTATTGATAATCAGACCCATCATGATATGATGTTAAATTAAAAGAATATATAGTCCCCACTGTTTAGCCATAATTGTAGTACATTCTGTCATGCAATAACAGTACTCTATCGTCCTCAGAGCAACATGCCTATAAAGCATCCCTGGAGTCCAGGCAAGGGCATGTCCAGAATGAAGATTAATGAAACATTTTTGTTTTTTTCTAAATTTGTCTACATTGTTAATTATGTGACTTTAATTTTTTTTTTTATTGAATAAAATATACTTTATTTGTGAAAAGAGGCAAACAGACCAAAAATGACTTCATTCTGTAATATAAATTAAGAACAAGGAAGAAACAAAACATTCAACCTATATATAATTTTTGTGCTATTTATTCACTAAACTTAGAACATGTGTAATTTTTTTTTTGTCACGTCATGAGGAGTCTTGAGCAGACCTAACTGTAGAAAGCACCTTTAAGCCTATACCTTACACAGACTAATCCTCATTCGCCACTCACGACCAACCAAGTTGGTTTAGAACATGTCTAATTGAACCATTAAAGAAACCTAAAATATGTAATCAAAATAATGACTCTTAGTACATACATATAAGCAATGTGATTGAATTATAGTAGGAGAAATTGAGATAGGTAAATTGGATCCCCAAACAATAGAGCATAATTTTTTTTTAAATGAAAATTATCAATTTATATTTGAGGGTTTCACTTAAGTAAGAATGAACAAGAAATGGATTTTTTTTACTCATGGGTCAAACAAAAAAACCAATAGCAACCATAGTGGAGAAATTATTGGAGATTTGGAGGTGGCAAGTGGGAAATAATGTAACCATAATGGATATTAATTGACAGATTTATTGATGGAGTTATATGCAAAGGACCACATTATTGGTCTGGAAAAACATCATGTGAAGATCAGAAAAACACATCGGAAGAAGAAAAAGAAAAAGAAGAAGAAGAAGAAGAAGAAGAAGAAGAATGGAGCTTAGCTTAATTAGCTTACTGATAAGAAGAAGAAGTATAACTCTCAGACAAGAGTTGATCTAATAGATCAGGGCCTAAGTCTTCAAACACAAGCGGCGGCAAATCGTCGCCGTCGCAGCAGCAATCTTGCGCCGCCTTCTCATCCCGAAACGCATACCCTACTACGCCGCCGCCGCCGCCGCCGTCCTCGGCCTGTTTCCTTTTCCCTCTACTACTCCTCTTCTTGTGCCTCTCCTTCAAGGCCTCCGCCGGCGACCACCCGTCCTTGCAACTACTATAACAACCCATTTCCTGCAACGACTCGTTCACTCTTTCCACCGGAAAATTGAGGCACGACGACGGCCCGCGCATCAGCACCGCCGCTTGGTCGTAAGCCAAGGCGGCCTCCTCCGCGCTGTTGAAGGTCCCCAGCCAAACCCTCGTCCCATTCCTCGTCGAGTCCCGAATCTCCGCCGCGTACTTCCCCCATGGCCGCTTTCTAACCCCAACGTAGTGCTTCTCTTTGGGAGATTTATTACTATTATTCTCTCTTGGGTCGCCATTATTTTCCACCTCCGAAGATTTCACTTCCCCGGAGAAAATCATATCCGATTCTTGTTTGATTATCTCACCACCACCACCCATTCTCAACCAACAATTTGCCCCTCCGATCCGTTGATTTATATATATATATAGACAAATAAGGATTCAAGTGTGGACCAACAATAGTATAGTAAGAAATATCTAGCTAGAAGAGGAGGAACTGAAGAAGAAAGGAAATATTTAGGAAATTTAAATTATTTTTATTTCCAGACCGAAGAAGAAAGAAAACAAAAAAACTTTGGAATATATCCATCATAATAATAAAAGGAAGAATTATTTAGAGATTAGAGAAAAGAAAAAAAAAAACAAAACAAAAAACCTTATCCAATAATGACACAAGAATTAAATTACTTTGTTTAACATGGTCCTACAAATTATGCGTATGTTGTGGGTAGAACACAAATTACATATAATAATAATAATAATAATAATAATAATAATAATAATAATAATAATAATAATAATAATAATAATAATAATAAAATAATAATAATAATAATAATAATAATAATAATAATAATAATTATTATTATTATTATTATTATTATTATTATTATTATTATTATTATTGGAATAAAAAATAAGACAAGTGGGAAGATGCTTTAGAAGATCAGAATTAGATTGATCGAATTGTTGGCCCCAGGTTGATGGGAGACTGCAACAGAATTGCACCACAAATTTTATGCACTAGAAAAAAAAAATTAAATGAAAATTTTAATTTGATGTCAACTAAATTATATACATACTTCTTTAATTTTGGACCTAGGAATTTGTTTATATTGTGATTCTTAATGTCATGGTCCAAAATTATGTTTCTTAAGTACACCTTGACTATGCATGTGTTGTAGAAAATTTGGGTGGAGTTTTCTTTTTTTCTCCTTCTTTTTGTTACCTTGTTGACACTTGAATTGAAAATTTGAAATTGAGATTAATATTATTATACCACACTTGAATTATAAATTTGTGGTATACTTAAATCCATATTGTTGGATGGAGTCATTGAGACTTAGTCTAATATCATATCATCTATACGTAGTGCTAGCTGTTATTTAAGTTTAAGAAAATTAATTAAATTTTGTATTCATTATCAGTTATAAATTTTTACACAGTAGTAAGACTTGATCTTGACACGTAAAATGTAGTGAAGAACAAAACAAGAATTTCACATCAACTTACCAAATTAAAGAACTATGATTTGTTTAAATTGTAATGTTTTGCATTATATAATTTTCCTACAGTGCATATTAGTATACTGCCTCTTTTTTTTTTTTTTTTTTTTTTTTTTGAATGCATTAGTATACTGCCTTAGGTATTAAAAGAGAGATTAGAAAACATAAGTCTTAATTTAACCCAAATTTCAATCACTTATCACAAATATAAAGTATATGTTTGTTTGGTAACATAGTTAGCTTATTAGTCAATTTTGACTTATTTGAACACTATTAGTTGTTTGACTTAGTTAATCATTCAATATAAGTGTTTAATTAATTAGCATTTTGTAATATCTTATTGCTTCAAAATGCAAAACTTCAAAAAGTTGTTCAAAACAGTTTTTTTGATCAGCTTTTTTAGAAAATTATTTTGCATCTTTCTACAATAATGCAATCAACTAGTCAAACTCAATCAGCTAACAGTCTTCTATTTCTCAAAGTATCTCTGTCCAATAACAGTTTTTTTTATCAGCTTTTTTAGAAAATCATTTTACATCTTTCTACAATAATGCAATCAACTAGTCAAACTCAATCAGCTAACCGTCTTTTCTATTTTCCAAAGTATCCATGTCCAATAACTTAACAGTCTTTTCTATTTCTCAAAGTATCCCTGTCCAATAACTTAATAATGGTTATATGTGCACGTGTGGTTTACATAACTTTAATACCAAATTGAAACATGTGCTTCATCTCAACTAAAAATATAAACTGATGGTTGGATGACACATTAATGGTTATATGCTCAACACTACAACCTTCATTAATTTTTGTCTCAATCAATTCCAAATTTGATAGAGCTATCATGGTTTCACTATCTACCCCACCTTTCATATCTATTCTCTTAAACTTGAAGAAGAAGAAGAAACGGATCTAATGTAAACATAATTATATACTTTTTACACATAATTAAAATAAATAAATCATTTTACTAATGACTAAATCGTTTAGACTTTTAATATATCCAATGCAGATATAATAAAAATAGTGTTCAAGATTTAAATTTAGATCTATTTTATCAAATGACATCTCAGATCCCACTCAATTGCTTAAGATGGGGCAGCCTTTTCATTGACTTAATTATTTCTGTCCTAGCTTTTTTATATTGGAATATATAATATGCCATTGATTGGCTAATTAGGCATCAATCCAAATTCTTAGCTACATAAAAAATGATAAACTATAAGAAGTTGAAAAGAGTAGCATTTTGTCTGTTCAATAATTAACTAGCAGCCAAATTTAAAAAGTTTACAGGAGCACAACAAATAAGTGAAGCCACAAGGAACAAAGAAAGATGAATAATGCATAATATGATGTTTGTGTATAAGTGGTTTGAAATATGAACATAACATAATTGTGCCTTGAGTCCTTATAACTATATATAGTTACTCCCTAAATACTTAACTTCTCTTATTTTAATAAATCTATTCTAATAAATAGTATGTATCCTAACCAAATAGAGGTCAAACCAATTACTTAACGCTTTACTTTATATTTGCTTTAAAAAAAAAAAAAAAAAAACAAAAACAAAAACAAAAACAAAACAAAACAAAAAACGCTTTATTGTAATATTCAAAAAAAGTGAGTGAAATTTTGCATCTGGCTCTATTACAATGTAATATCTGTTCATATACTTTCTCAACTTACTGATATACATAACCAATAACGCCTACACTGAGATTCGAACTCACAACCTTTCAAATGGATGTTCAACCCGAGTACCACTAGACCACATAGTCTTAGTTATTATTATGCAACTTAAAACTTTATACTCTGCATTTCTCAAAATTTTTCAAAAACGCACATTATATTGTTACAATTTACAAAGTGCATGTTTAGTATTAAAAAATTGCACTTTGTAACATGTGAAAGTGCAGTCCACTTAGTGTCTTGATTTTAGAGTTTGTAAATGAGCATTTTGGTTTTATTTGATTTAAGACCTTAAGAGTTTGCTTTTTACATTTTAGGGTTTAGCATTTATGATTTAGGTTTAAAATTTAGTTTCCTCATTAATTTTTTAAAATGTTATCAAAAGATGCACATTATGTTGTTACAAAGTGTAGAGTATGGTGTTACAAGTTGCAAGATAAAATTGAAAATAATTACAAAAAAAGTCACCGTAATTTTTTAAATTTGATCTGATATGTCCAATTTTTAAAGATGTAAGACTGAAATTAATTCTAAGTTTTCTCATTGGGAAATGTTCTAAAGGGATCCTAACTCTATATTATATATATATATATATATATATATATATATATATGTGTGTGTGTGTGTGTGTGTGTGTGTGTGTGTGTGTGTGTGTGTGTGTGTGTGTGTGCGCGCGTGTGTGTGTGCGTGCGCGCGCGCTAAGGATCCTATGAGAACAGTATCATAGGAGAAAAATAATAATCAATCTTAGTCTTATATCTGTAAAAATTTGACAGATATGATCATATTTTTTAAAAAAAATGCAGTGATATTTTTCGTAATTTTCATCAACTTCACTAAGCAAACTTGAACACTTAAATAAGCCATGTTTAACAATTAAATATGCAAACCTGATAAATTTTATAAAGTCAACGAAAAACCTAAATTTTAAATCTAAATCGTAAATGTTAGACCTTGAGCAATAAAAAGAGAAGGACTAAACCAAATAAAATCAAAAACTCAGTTATAAACTCTACAATCGAAATCCTAAGTGCAACGCACTTTCGCATTTTGCAAGTGCGATCTTTTAGTACTAAATATGCAAAATGTTAATATTAAATGTGTAAACTTGGAAAAGTCTAAGAATTACAAATTTTAGTGTTCAAGTTTGCATAGTAAAGTTGGTCATAATTACGAAAAGAGTCACACTTGTCTGATACGTCTCACGGATCTTTATACGTGAGATGGGTCGGGTCAATATGCAAATGTAATACTTATACTAGCAAATGTAATACTAAATGTTACATTTCATCTTGACTCAACCCATCTCACAAACAAAGATCTGTGAGTCAGTCACACACAAGTTTTTGTGTTACGAAAATGTCATCGTATTTAAAAAAAAAAAAAAAAAAAAAAAAAAAAAAAAAAAAAAAAAACTTATCTCATTCGTCCTATTTTTCCAGATATATATAAGGATGACATTTGTTCTTATTTGACCGAGAGACTTGTTCTCATTTTATCCAATAAAGATAGATGGGAAAATTTTACTCTTATAATTTGAGTAGGGTGCATAGTGACTTATATATATTAGTATATTTAGTTCTAGTTAACGTATAAAATTTACAAAGGTCATATAAACTTTTTTTTTTTTTTTTTGACAGATCATGAGGTGTCCTGAGCAAGTCCTAACTGTGGGAGGCACCTTAAGTCTGTACCATACCCAAAGTAACGTTCATATAAACTTTGAAGTATTCAATTCTTTTCATTTTCTTACCCATTTTTTGGAAAATGAACCAAACACACAAAGACAATTTTCCGTTGAGTAGCCAAACACTAGAATGGAAAATATTTTCTGAAAAATTACTCATTTTCTAGAAAACATTTTCCAAAAGTCATTTTCTTGCTATCCAAACGCAGCCTAAGTTATAAAATTCTAAATTATATTTGTACCCAAGCTCATATAGTTTACCAATTCACTATGATGATTAACTATTTATAATTTAATACATTCCAATAAGTTAACCAAACAAGACTATATCATCACGTCAAAATCATGTAAAAAAAATTATCTGCATATAATAATATTATTCGGAGAAACATATACACTACAAGAAAAATAGTAAAATAGTAAATAGCAACTGATTTAGTAACAGATTAAATAGTCACAATTTAAATATGCGAATTTAATATTTTATCTACAAAAATTTGATTATAGATTAAATATATTAAAATTTCAATAATTTATTATACCTTTTTCCTAGATGAAGTTGATTTTTCTTGTAATGAATTATATAATTTTTATTGTATATTACCAAAACAAAATCTACAAGTATTGTGGTAAAATCACTATGCAATTAACCAAAACAAAAAAAAAAAAAAAAAACAAAAAAAAAAAAAGTTCATTTAAAAAAAAAAACAAAAAAAAAATTTATATATACTCTTTACTTTTTATCACTGTTGCAAAAATTCAACCTAGGCACCGATTAATCGCTGTCTAGGCGGCCAGCTAGCAGGTGCTAGCTGGCCGCCTAGCATATCACCATAATCGGTGGTCTAGGCGGCCGCCTAGGCTGCCTAAGTGCTGACCACCTAGACCTCCTAGGCACACTAAGTCTCCTAGGCACCGACTAAGTCGCCTAGTCGGCTGATTAGCTATTGTTCCATTCTTTTTTACATGTGTTATTTCACTGAAAATGACATGGTTTTAAGCGAAATAATCTTAAATTGTACAAAATTCTAGATTTTTTACGTTAATATTTAATATTTTAGTATTAACTATTTAGTATTAAATAGTTCATAATTATCAAGCCTTAAAAAACTAAAAAACTGTAAACAAATTTTTAAAAAATAAAAATAAAATAAAAAATACACGGACACCAAGATGCCAATTAATCGCTGCCTAGATACTAGGTGACGAGGATCACCTAACGATTTAACCATGTTTTTTATTTTATTTTTATTTTATATTAACATAGTACGGAAAATTGTTAAAGTAAAATAAAATATAATTTGAGTTATTACCATTTGAGGTCCCCCGAGTATAGTGATTTTGCCACGTTTAGTCCTAAATTTTCAAATTGACCATTTGTGGTCCTTCGACTTTCAAATTTAACCATTCGTGGTCCAAGTTAACCACTCATGGTCCTCCAACTTTTAAATTTTAACCAACTATAGTCATTTCAAGAGGACCACGAGTGGTTAAATTTTGAAAATTGAAGGACCATGGGTGGTTAATTTGGACCACGAATGGTTAAATTAGAAAATTGAAAGACTACAAATGGTCAATTTGAAAGTTTAGGACTAAACGTGACAAAACCACTATACTCGAAGGACCCCATGTGACATTAACTCAATATAATTTTTATTTTTTCTTTCAATGAAAATAGGAGAGTTTTTACTCAGGACCCACTTATCTTTTTAAGAACCAAAAATAGAAAAAAACAAAAAATAGTCCAATCAAACACCTAGTTGGAAAGGACTCATAATCGATTGGATGTTAAGGATATATAATTAATAGGGAGCATAAAAGTGGTCACCAGGCCAGCTTGAGTCGCTATTGCTCACTTTTCCAATTTTGTCTTTTTCCGTCGGCTGATACCCCACCTGGATTCATGACTTTTCTTCGATTTGACACCCACACTGACATAGTACACTATTCCCTTCCCAGGATTCGAGGTTTAACATTAGTTGGAATAATAGTTTTATTTTAATAATCTTTTTTTTTTTTTGTCTTTCTTAGATCAATTTTTTGTATAACCAGAAAATCTTATCTAAACCAAGCTATTTCAACTAAAAATATAAATTAGTAACAATTATACATTTACATATTATATACAATTGATACTCTTTCTGTAATGTTAAAAGTCGTTTAGGTTTAACCTAACCTGGTCTAAACTCTAAGGGGAAATGATGTAATGGTGAAATTAATAAGTAAGCCCACACCATTTAAGCATCTTAAAGTCAGTTGGAATGCAAATGCTGAAAAGTCAATAATGGTTAGTTTTACTTCAATTAAACATTATACCACCTAAAATAATGTCCACAAAGTATATTACCAGCATCTTATATTATTATATAGGGCCGACCGATTGACAGACGACAATTAATATATTTTAAATTAAAACTTATGAACAACCTGTTCCAGCCAGCTGGCGTGACGTTTAAAACGAATAACGTGAATCACTCCCCCACCCACCCACAAACCTAATAGCATAGCTAGCTAGGCTTCATCAAATTAGGGCTGGTGACTTGGTCCCACTGCAAATCACTTCAAAATTACAACTTGGGGATATGATCAGTTATAACTTATAAACTCCTAACTTATAACCATACCATTTTCCCAACCATTATTTCAGTTCTATAAATTAATTGGCTCAAAGTTACAGCAGAAAGGATTGACAGATATGGATGTTAATTGCTTGATTGATGACCAAGTTTTAGCTATTACATATTTACATCCATGGATTCTCAGGCTCGAGGGGGGAAAATATGTAAATTTACTTGAAAAAACTAACTAAATAATGGAGATGACATATACCCACACCATATTTTATTATGTTTGTGAAGTATGTTAATTATCTGATGACTCCATATTTCAAACTATGGAAGTATGGAAACTAAACGTATAATACAATATATAAATGTATGTATACATACCTGCAGCCCGGCAGCTGATTCAAAATGGTATATATGCTTAGCTTGCTCGCTTGAAGCCTTCAATGGCTT